CGCCCGCCCGGTAAAGCCGCCGCTAACGGTGGCCCGGCCACCGCCTCGGGCCGGCCCCTCAGGGCCCTGCCGCGCCGGCTCGGCCTCGGGTAAGCGATAGGGAGGAAGGAGGGTGGCGGGGGTGGGGGGAAAAGCCCCACGAGGCCGGCGGCGCTGACCCCTCTGTCTCCTCCCGCAGGACCCCGCCGGCCGTTCCTCGCCGCCGGTACCCGCTGCCGCAGGCCCGCAGCGCGGTGCCGGTCGGGCTGCCCGCCGCTCGCTGGGAGGGCTGCTCGCCGCGGAGCGCGCCCTGGTCTCGCCGGGCCGCCCCGCTCCGCAGCTCTGTCACGGTGAGGATCGCCCCGCCGGCCGCCGGCCTGGCCCGCTCCCCAGCGTGAGTACCGGAGTGGCGACCGGGCCCCGCTTCGGCCTCGCCTCGGGCGGGATGGAGCTGAACGAGGAGGGGGGGGGGAGCCGGTTCCCTGGCCCTCAGCGGGTCTTGCTGCCCGACACGGGTCCCCGGGAAGAGCACAGCGGTCCCAGGCTGGCAGCGGTGGCTCTGATCCCATCCCGAGCCTTGCGGGGAGGAGTGTGGGGTCCGAACCTCCTGGAGATCATAGAATCATTCAGGTTGGAAAAGAACTTTGGGATCATTGACTCCAACCATTAATCCTACTCTACAAAGTTCTACCCTACACCCTATCCCCCAACACCGCATCTAGATCTTTCACGGGAGAGCCCTCTCCCCGCTCCTGTGGGGGCAGCGGGGCCACGGGGTGAGGGGTCTCGCTCCAGGGATCTCACCATGTCTAATGTCCTGCTTCGCTTTGCCGCACAGCCTGGAGCAGCTCATCTCGCCTGTGGCCTTGCCAGCCAGCAGCAGCCCAGACCCCTGTGCGAAAGAGACTGTGCTGAACGCCATCAAGGAGAGCAGGAAGAGGGCTGTGGAGGAGGAGGAGGAGGACCAGGCTTTTGGGAACGATCAGGAGAGCAAGAGGAGGTAATAAGCCAGCAGTCCAGGTCGCTGCTAGTGTGTTGGGAATGTTGTAAATGGGGCTGGCTCGTTGGTGGTGACAAATAGGATGTGTCCCCAGAGAGTGTGCCAAGCCCGGTGCGACCAGAAGTGCTGTGGGAAGTGAACCACAGAGAGGAAGCACAGCCCATCGCCCGGCCCTCTGGGCTGTGTTGGAAGGTCCTCGGAGACTTCATTTTGCCCTTGAGATCAAAGGGATGTGGCTTAGGTTTTTGTCTGGGCAACCTTTGAGTCAGGCATGTTCCCCTGGGTTGTGGGGGCTGGGAGAGGCTGGGCTGTGGGGAAGCCTGGCAGGGCTCCCTGCCTGGGAAGTGGCTTCTCTCATCACAGGGGTTTGCAGGCTGGGGACGTGTGGTAGGAAACGCTGGTATCAGCTGCAGGGTCACCAGCTCTATCCTTCAGTCAGCTCTGGGTTTCCAGGAGAGACAGGATCCCCAAAATCTTACAGCCCCTGTGGAAGCATCACATTTCAAAAAAACCTGTGTGCTTCTTTGGTGCGCTCTCACAAAAGGAGGTGAAGCACACGGGTAAACACGGGAGACTATCTTCTGCTTTCGTTAGTCAAGGTCAGTGATTTCCAGCTCTGAGCTCAAAGAAATGAGGGTGCAGTGTCTTTGCCAGCGCTCTAGGAAGGACAAGGCATAAATCCTGGGTGCTGAGGTCTGCCGAGGCCTTTTTAACTGTCTGGGCACAGTGCTGCCTCCCCGGTCTTCCCTCTTGTTTTTCGTCCTTCCCACCTGCCTACGTGGAGGCTGTTCACCACATTCTCCTTTGCCTCTCGCGTGGCAGGGCTGCCTGCCTGCGCTTGAGCAGGAGCTGAAACCACAGAAGAGCAGTTTGAGCCGTGCCCAGGCGCTTTTTTCCCATGTGCTGCACTGGGGCTGCTGCTTCAGGTGGCCCGGAGAGCGCAGTGGGGTGAGCGGCAGTTCGCAGTGAGGCACTGGCTGCCTTCCCCTCCGCCATCGCTGGATTTCCCTCAGTCTTTAAACCTTTGCCTCTGCTTGGTGAGTCTGAGCCCCTCAAAAGCCGAGCAGGACAACAACAGGATGGGTGCACAGGCAGGATCAGCTTGGTTTTTTTCTTTATTCTATTTTTTTAATATACCAATACCCAGCTCTGCTACGAAAGCCAATTTTGAAGGCATTAAAGCCTGGCAAGCACGAAGAATGCTTGTAAGCAGAAAGTTCTGCAACCTTTGAGGGAAGAAAGAAGCCTGCATCAGCTGGAGAGCACTGGATCATTTGTGCAATGGGGTCAGCATACTTGAGCTCAGGGGAAGGTTTGGGCAAAGTGACAGGGCTGATGATATGCTTTGGGCTCTGCTTTGCAGCAGGGCTTGCTTTAAGACTTTCAGACTTCAGATCTCCATGAATCATTGTGGGAAGGGGGATTTGGTTTCTGACTCAAACAGTCCAGAGCACTGGCTGGGAAGAGGTAGGAGACCTGAGTTTTGGAGCTCAGATCCGTTTCAGAAGTGAGCTGCTGAGACTTTGAAATGTTTTGGCTTAGAATAATGGATTTTGACCCATGATTTCATTACATCAAAACTACTCTGCGCAGCTCGAGGTGAGAGTCAATGAGGACAGGACCAGGTAGAGAGGAAATCCACAGCAGGAAATCCTCTGTCCTTGGGTATTGGATGACAAGAAAAAAAAGGTTTATGCTTTCTCAGTGCTGAGCCCACCTGGAAGAGGTCTGCTTCTGAGGCTGGGAGGACAGCTCCTGTCTCTGCTGCCTATGCACTACCACAGGCTTCTGCCCTCTCTCCCACAGGCGCCACGATAGCAGTGGAAGTGGGCAGTCAGCCTTTGAGCCCCTGGTAGCCAATGGTGCCCCCGCCTCTCTCATACCCAAGTAAGTGTCCATCGGGCCAAAAGCAACTGCTGTGAACTGGGAGGGGGGTCTGAGAGGCTATGGGCTCTGTAAAAGTCACTTGGCTTTTGCTTGTGGAGCCCAGCTTCAGGGAACAGCAAGAGAGGCTGTGCCCATGCCTGCACGATGTCACCCTGAGCACAGGCTGGGGGCCGTAAGGGCTGTGCTGCTGCAGAGGCCTCTTTACAAGCCCTGTGTTGTGAGAAAGAGTGAGGTTGCTTTCCTCTACCCACCCTGCATTTAAAAAAAATACCTGTGGGCAGAGTGATGGGGAGCTCATAAAATCTTCTTTAATCTCCTCTAGGCCTGGGTCTCTGAAGAGGAGCCTTGTCTCGCACTGCCCAGATGACTGCTCAAACAAGAGGTCACGCACTTCTTCCATGAGCTCCCTCAACAATACATATGCTGGCGGGATCCCCAGCTCCTCCCGCAACGCCATCACCAGCTCCTACAGCTCCAGCCGGGGCCTCTCACAGGTAGGAAACACCCTGCCAAAGGCAGCACCAGAGCCCAGCACTTGCAGCTCGACCCAGCGCTGGCATCACCCCATGTAACCCAAACCCTGGGCTTGGAAGGAGAGAGCGGTGTCGCTGGGTGCCTGCAGTGACGCTGCGGGGAGCCCCAGTGCAGCTCCGCCGGGCAGTTCCATCTCCCCGTGGGTCAGGCGGGTGGCTGGGCAGGCAGCAACGTTTCTTGTCATTCAGTGCGTGCTGCTGGGGCAGTCCCCACGCTGAGCTGTCCTGCTGCAGTACTTGTTTTACACCAAAGCAAGAAGGCAGCCATTTTCCCCTCCCTACTCAGCCTTGGCCAGTCTGTGGGGGTGGATAGATCCAGGTGAAAGGAGGAAAAAAAAAAATCACTTTGCTGCACTGCCACCTTTTCAACTGGAGTCAGCAAGTATTGGAGCTGTGCACTCCTGCTTTAACCCAAGTCCCCTCAGCAGCTGAGCTGTAATGAAACCCTGCTCACATCCTGGGTCAGGCTTGCAGATGTGATGGTGGGATGTAGCCATGACTAATGGAGCTCTGCAGTCTGTGTGAGGAAAGGTTTCCTCTGGAATACGCTGGTAGGGAAAGATTTACTCCGGCTGGGGCGAGGTGGGATCCGTCTTCTCTGTGCTCCTGGTAAGGAGGTGGCCTGCTCCTGCCAGAGCAGCCCCACGCACGCGAGGGCATCTGAGGCAGCCCAGCAGCCATGGCCTGTGCTGCTTGATGGCGAGAGCCAGCAGCGTCCTCCCTCCCTGGCTGCGGCCAGGCCGTAACGAGCCTGGAGGCCGCTCACTCCCAGAGCGGATTCATTTTGGGGTGGCCAGACTTTGCGCTCCAGGGAATGTGGAGGGGAGCTAAACAATGCTGAAGCCAGAGAGACTCTGAACTCATTAGCCACTGCCCTGGGAGATGGGATTTAACCTGCAGGCCAGCAGGAGGATGGGAGGCTGTGCTCCCTGCCAGCCCCCATACTGAGTTACTGCTGGTCTCTCTCTGCGTTCCAGCTGTGGAAGAAAAGTGGTGTGAGTGTGTCCCCGCTGTCCAGCCCAGCGTCCTCCCGCCCCCAGACGCCAGAGTGGCCTCTCAAGAAAGCCAGGTAATTAGCTGCTCACCCAGAGAGCGCCCTCTCATCGATGCCAGCCAGGAAGGGAGTAGTTGCCTTCCCAGCCATCCCAGTGCCTCAGTCCTGCTCTCCACTGGAGCTGGGACAGCCCAGGCCCTTTTCTGAGACATGGCTGCTGGGTCCCCACGTCCCCACTGCTGTGGAAACCCCCTTGTTGTGTTGATTGGTGTCCCTGCTGCCTGCTTACACCACAGTCCTGGCAGCAGTGCTGAGCTGCACTGCCCCTGCCCCGCTCCCAGATCTGGTTAGAGAGGGCTCAGATTGCTGCAGAGGTGAGATTGCTGTGTGGCCTGGGTTGCTGGGTGCTGAAATGTTGGGAAGAGACAGGCCCTGATTTTTTTGCCATCTCCTCAAAATCAATTCACGGGAGCTACAGTAGGGCTGTATTTTAGCACCTGCCTTGGAGCACAGGCCCTTGTTCTCTCTGGGCTCAGAGAAGGACCTGAGCTCATGTCAGTACTAAAACCAACATGACCACCTTCTCTGGTAATAGGGTGGGTCCAAGCTAGGGACTTGTGAGGGGCAACAGCTCCTGTCCCAGACCCCTGGCTGCCACCCTGAGGCAGGGTCAATGGCCTGGATGAGCTAGGGTCTCGGGGAGGGGAGCAGCTCTGCTGCCTGGAGCTGTATTCAGGCTGGTGCTGTGAGGGCAGGGCTGTTGTTCTGAGATCTGTTGTTTGGAGGAGGCAAAGAAACGCACCAGGGATGCTGGTGGAGGTGCTTGGTGTGTTTGGCCTCATCCTGCTCTCTGGGGTTGACGCTAACTGACTCTCCCCCACCTGCACAGGGAAGAGGAGTTGCATCGCTCCAATGCTTCCACTCCAGTGAAATCGGACAAGGAGCTGCAGACAGAGAAAGGTGAGTGTAGGTGGGCCCCAGCTCTGTGCCCGGGTTGGATGGGCCACCGGTGCGAGCAAGCAGTGGTAGCTGAGGTCTGCAGGTGGGTTTGGCTTGAGTATCACCTGTAAGCTAGGAACATGCTGGTCGCAAGGCAGTGGCTTTTCTGCTGGCCTCAGTGACTGACCTAAAGGCATTTCCAGGTGATAAGCAAGGGGTGCTGGCAGTGATGGGGTGCTAGCAGATGTCTGGGAGCTGGCTTGCAAGGGGGAACACCAGTCCCCAGCCCATCATGGGTCCAGATGTCAGCCTTGGGGCAAGATCTGCTGTGATAGCACCCTGCAAGATCTGTGATAGCATCCTGATCAAATTCCAGGCTGAGCTTATTCCAAGGCTTTCTTAGCAAAATGGAGAGGAGTGCTCATAGCAGGTAGGGTCCTGTGGCGCAGTGCTAGACATAGCTCACACAGTTTGTGTGGCTTGTGGTTCGTGTAGGCAGTGTGCAAGGACCATCCATGGAGTTGGGAAGGGACCACTGGCCTCCGGAGCCCCAGCAGGCTCTTGTGACAACAGACTGCCCCGGGATGTGTTGCAGACAACTGCTCTTCCAGGGCATTGCATCCTTGTCCTCAGCTTAGAGCCAGGGCCCTGACTCTGCCCTCTGAGATGGGCCATTGAGAGGGGTCGGAAGGGACAACCCAGCCCTTGGTACAGGCCAAATGCCTCCTCTGCCCAGAGCTGGTCCTGACTTGTCTCCTCCTGTAGTGATGGAGACACCGGTGCAGAAGAAGCAGAATTCCCTGAGCCCACCGTCCACGTCTGGGAGCAACGGGAAGCGCAAGCGGAAGATCCTGTTGCTGTCGTCTCGCCCGGGGGACCAGCTGGCGCTGGTACGTCGCTGTCTCACGGCCCCTTTTGCCCTCCTCTGGCGATAGAATGTGCTCACTGCAATTTCTGCAGGGCTGGGGGGAGACTGACCTGCCTGCCCTCAGGAAGGAGGCCCCGTCCTTGGCCGAGTGGGAAGTGACGCTATCCCCAGCCCCAGTGTCTGGTGGGCTGTGCGTGATTGTGCTGCCTGCTGCCGGACCAGGTAATGGCCTGGGGAAGGCCTGCCGTGCCCTCAGCGCCAAGCCGGGGGCCAAAATGAATGGGAATCGGAGCTCCGCGGTAGCGTGCTGTGGCAGAACCACCTGCTTCACGGTCTTGCGACGGCCAGCCTTCACCACACGTTCAGAGAGGCTCTGACGGCTTCCCTGAGAAGGAGCTAAGCTGCTGCTCTCTCTTGGCAGCCCCCGCCGCCTCAGCTGGGCTATTCCATCACGTCGGAGGACCTGGATGCGGAGAAGAAGGCAGCGTTGCAGTGGTTCAACAAAGTCTTGGAGGATAAGGCTGGTAAGGATGGATGGGGAACATGGAGGGGACAGCAAGGAGTAGGAAGCCAGGGCCAGGGCTAGCAGGGCAGTGGGGTGTCTATGGTGCAAGCTGGGGAAGGTCTGGGGCCAGTCCTGCCTTATCCTTGCGTCTGGGGATGCTCTTAATGCATTCAGATTCAGGAGAGCTCGTGCCCTGGGGTCTGCAGGGTGATGGCTGAGGTTCCCCAGGGCAGAGGCATTGGTGCAGTTTCTGTACCTGCTGGGGAGGCTCTGCTAAGGCATTTTCCCCCACAGCGAGCTGCGGGGCCTGAATTCTTTCTCCTTCCTAGTAGATGCAGTCCACAGCACCACTGCAGAGACTACGCCCATGTCCAGGCCTCTGGCATTCACTGTGACCACCCCGGGTCCTACACCTGCCTTGACAGCTCCTGACCCAGCCAGCAACAGCTCGCTCCTGGACAGCCTGAAGAAGATGCAGAGCAGCCAGGCTGCACCCACACCGGCAGGTGAGGAGGAGGAGCTGGCCTTTGGTAGAGCAAGGCAGGCACAGCAGGAGCTCTGCGTTGCCTCTGTGAGAGACAGGTGGCAAAACTCCTTGTTCAAATGCTCTGCTGGCAGCAGAACTGGCAGGCAGGTCTTGGGGGGGGCTAAGTTTGGGGACACTGAGCCCTGTTGGGACCTGCAGTAAGCTTGGAGGGCTGTGTCTGTCTGGTACAGAGATGGGTGCTACTCCAGGAGCCTTTGCAGCAGTAGGGTGGGTGCTTGGCAGAAGGGGTGGCTGTAGGTGACCCCGTAAGTAAGTTCTCTGCCCCTTTCCAGATTCCACTGGAGCTGTGGTAACGTCCCAGCCGCCTTCATCAGCTGCACAGCCGCCCGCTCCTGCTGTATCCCTGGAGTCAAGTTCTCTGCCTGCCACCTCTGCTGACACCAAGCCTGTGCCTGTGTTGAGCACGCCTGCTCCTGCTGCCCCCTCTGACTTGGGGGTGCAGACCCCCAGCAGCCTGGCATCTCCTGCATTCACAGAGCTGGGCCCGACCCCAAGCAAACCTCCCTCCTTCCCGAAGCCAAGCATCCTCTTTGGGATGCTGAACACCCCTCCAGCCAGCCAGTGTGCAACGACCACAGCCACTGCTGAGCCCACCACGACTGCTGCTGTGCCCACCACCACCCCAGTCTTCAAACCCATCTTTGGTGCTTTGCCGAAAAGTGAGAGCACAACACCCTCTACAGTTGTCAGCTCCACCACAGTCACCGTGTCTGCGAGCTCAGGCCCTTCCTCGACATCCTCTACCACCACTATGTTCAAGCCTATCTTTGGCAGCATCACCACAGCTTCATCTCCAGGGAAGGCCTCTCCTTTTGCCTTCAAACCTACGTCGCAGCCGGTCTCGAGCACAGATCTGCCAGCAGCCTCCACGACTACTCTGGCAGGATTCACAGGTCTCCCTAATGTCATCTTCACCACTGCAGCTACAACTGCCACCACACAGAGTTCCTCCACAGATGCCACCATTAAACCCGTCTTCAGCTTTGGACTCAACCCACCCACCTCCACCGGCCCCGCCGCCAGCCTGACTGTCACTGCTGCCACGTCCTCCAGCACCTCGCAGCCCTTCCTGTTCGGGGGCCCAGCCAGCTCAGCTCCCAGCACAGAAACCAGCTTTGCCACCCCAGGGCCCGTGTTCCAGTTTGGAAAGCCACCTCCAGCCACAGTCACAGCTACCACCACTGTCCCAGGAGGCCCTGCCTTTGGCCAAGCACCTTCAAACTCGACAGCTCCTGTCACCACTGTGGGCTTTAGTATATTTGGGAGCACCACGCTGACCTCTTCTACCCCAGCCACCACGGGTCAAGCGACGTTGACATTTGGCTCCGTTTCGGCTTTTGGCAGTTCTTTCAGCACAAGTGCGAAGCCACCACCGCCGTACCCCAGCGCAGCGAGTCAGCCCGCCTTCAGTGCCGCTGCTGCAGAGAGCCAGCCGCCTGCCAGCAAACCTACCGCCGGCCCCGTCAGCTTTGCCCCCCCGTTCAGCTTTGGAGCCCCCACGGCCCAGTCTGCAGCTCAGCCAGCATTCGGCAGCAGTGCTCAGCCGGCCTTTGGCACAACCAGTGCCCAGAGCTCCTTCGGCACTGGCAGCACCCAGGCAGCCTTCGGGACCACCACATCGGTCTTCTCTTTTGGGACAGCCACCTCCACCACCACCAGCTTTGGTTCCACCACCCAGACCACAAGCAGCAGTACTGGCCCTGCTGTCTTCGGCACCACCCCATCTCCTTTCACCTTTGGGGTGAGCGCCCAGCCGGGCCCCTCTGCCAGCGCCTTCGGGATCGGTGCGCCGGCCCTGAGCACCGGCTCTCCCACTGTGGCCTTCAACTTTGGGGCTGGGCAGAGCGGGGCAGCTCCGGCGGCGGCGCCGTTCGGCTCTTCCCTGACGCAGAGCGCGCTGGGTGCGCAGAGCCAGAGCACACCCTTCGCCTTCACCGTGCCCAGCACACCCAACAACAAGCCTGTGTTCGGAGGTGAGTTGGGGAGGACAGACCTTCTCAGGGGGTGAAGAGCAGGGGGAGATTTAGGCAGCAGCTTTCCTGCCAGACCTTGTTGAACTCCCTGGGCTCAGCAGCCCGGGAGGGGCTGGCACTCATGCTGTGCAGAGCCTTACCATGTGAAGGTGCTTCCATCACTCACTGTCCAGGTCCTCAGCCCTTGGTGGTGGAGGGGAATGCCTAAATTCTGCTCCTTGGCCCCTCTGAATGCACCAGCTCCCTGGCTCCGTGCGAGTGCTGAGCCCAGCCAGGTGCCCCATAGAAGCCAAGGTCTTGCCAGTGCTTAAAAGTAATCTGGAGCTTTTTGGCGAGTAGAAATGCTGCCAGTGAACAATTGCAATCACTTCTTGCTTGCTCTCTGGGGTTTTCCCTACCACTTTGCACCCTTGCTGGGACAACTCACCTCCCACAGAGCTGAAACCCACAGCTACTTAATCTAGAAAGACAGAGGCCTTTGTTCCTCCCTGGCCTCCAAATCCTTTCGTGCTGCCCTGCTGGCAGGAGGGTGCAGGGATTACCATGAGAGCACAACTTTTTGCATTTAAAGGGTTTCTTGGGTGAAGAGGCTGGTTGAGGGAGACTGTGGTGCTTCAGCCCCTGGAGGGAGATTTGTGCCTCCTGCACAGGCTCTTCCTGCTGTGCAGATCCCAGTTCATCATGGCATGTTGCTTTCCAGGAACTCCCATTCCCACCTTCGGGCAAAGCACGCCCATCCCGGGAGCAGTGGGGAGTGGAAGCAGTAGCCTTTCCTTTGGGACGCCCAGCACTCCTGCCTCGGGCTTCGGAGGAGTCGGCACTTCCTTCGGTAAGGAAGGAGTTGGTGCTGTGGCCTTGGGGAGCTGATGGGTCACGTTGGGGTTGGCAGAGGGGCCAGGCTGTGCTCTGGGACCTGGCTCAGGTGGTACCTGCTGGGCTCTGGGGGATGTGAAACCTTCCATTTCCCCAGGGGTGGGGATTACGCTCTCCCCCACATCAGCTCTGAGTGAGGCTGCAGAGACCCAAGCAACCTTTCTGCTTCCAGGTTCCTCCACCCCCGCCTTTTCCATTGGGGCAGGATCCAAGATGGGTGCTCGCCAGCGGCTGCAGGCGCGGAGGCAGCATATCCGCAAAAAGTAACCTCCGGTGGTGCAGGCCCACACCGCTGGCCCCTGCCTGCGCCTCGGGGGCTCCGGGCCAGAGCAGTCCCCGTGGTGGAACCAACGGTGACGGGGCGAGAGCCCTGTGTGATGCCAGCCGGAGAACCGTGCTGGGTGGCAGCGACCAAGGTGGGATGGAATAAACCAAACTCTTCTTACTTGAACAGTTCCACAGCCAAGGCTGGATGGACCTCTGTACATATCCACAGTGTTTCCTCCCCCACTTTATTTTGCCATGTTTCATAATGTGTAAATTTTTCCCCATTTGCTTCTTCTAGCTGTTCCCGTGCGCTCCCCCTTAGTCCTCTGACGCTCAGCCCCCTGCCCCTGTGGCACGGCAGCCAGCAGAGCCACATGCTCCTGCTTGGAGCTTGGCCACTGGTCCCAGACGGCCGAGTGGTGCTGTCTTCACCAGGTCCTGACCTCTTTCCCCAGTGTTTCATCCTGCGACCTGGTGAACACGCTCCCTCCAGAGGGCTCTGCTTTGTTGCTGTCCCTGCAGAACATGAGCCAGGGTTAGTTCCAGCCTGGCGTGGGTGGCTCAATGCCACAGTGAGCAACCTGGCTTCTGCAGCTGGGCGCTGACGCCCGCGCTGTGACTTAATTTCCCATCAGACCTCCAGCCGAGGATGTGCCGTAGCCTGGGACCTCAGCTGGAGGCGCGGGGTGGGATTAGGGGTTCCTCCAGTCCTCTTCTGGCCACTGGCTGCGGGGTCCCCCCACCCTGCTCATGTGAAGCCCCCTCTTTTGCTTTATTTGTGCTCCCGTTTTGATCCACTCATTGAATCGAGTTTGGAGGAAGAACTGAACCGTGTGCGTGGCGGCATGTTGGTTATGCCGGATTTGCTGTTTGGAGTTTCTTTTTTGGGGGGGCGCCAGTCCCTTGGCGGGGGACGCGCCCTGGCTAATTGGGTGTTGACAGTAGCATCACTGCGTGGCTACTCGTGCTGGGGGAGTTCTTCCGTCGCTGTCGTGACTGAAAGGCAGGCAGCCGGGTGGGGGGCAACAGGGCCTGGACCCCCAGGCACTGGGGCCTCCTGCCCTGGCAGTCTCTCCCCTCACTTTCCCTCTCTCCTGGTGCCTCTTCCCCACCTCAGGGGGCTCTGGAGTCACTAAAAGAGTCCAGAGCCACATGGGTTTCCTTCCCTGCCCCCAATCCAATTTTTTTTTTTTTTTTTCCATTTTTAGCTCATCCCCCTTCTTTTTGGGTTTTACCAGCTCCCAGGAGCTACAGTGCTGCCTCCCCTCTCCCCATCCAGCCAGGAGCGGGGCTCTTTGCTGCCTGGGAGCTCCTACGGGAAGAGACTACCAGAGCCCAGGGGTCACCCAAGAGCTGCCCCCCACCCTGCCCCGGGCAAGGGATGGGCACTTCTGCCTGCAGGCTCCCCACCACTTCCAGGAGTGTTTTGCTGCCGGGTTTTTTACTCTCCGAGCCGTGTGAGTGTGTGTGTCTGCTGAAGTCTAAATTTAAAAAAAAAAAAAAAAAAAAAAAAAAAAAAAAA